CGATGTGCGGAGGAAGGAGTTTGGAGGCACAGCTCCCGTCTGTGCAAAGCTGCCCCCAGCCTTTCCAACTGCCTCCCAAGCCCGCGGCTGAGCCCTGCTCTGCCGTATAACTGCTCTAGAGCTGCCCGGCCACCCCCATGACTGCTTGGAAGACACATCCCAGGACACCCCTAACTCAGCTCCCAGCCCAAAGCATCACTGCGTCCCCTCACCCTGGGCCATGGGCACTGCCAACGCCAGCTCATTTCTGGTCACTGTTCAGTAGCAAGACCCCAGAGGGTGACGGCAGGCTGGGGGCAGGCTCCGCACAGCATCTAGCTGGGGGCCTGCACCTCACACTCCTGCTTCCAGCACCCCCAAATCCCCTCTGACACGCACCACGGCTCACACGGCTGCTCTCACCCTCACGCAGGAGCAGCAAGGCTCTATTTGATACCAGACAGCAAGGTCCAGGCTTTTGCGGGTCTCTGCGGTACGACACATCCAAGCCATCCTCCTCATCTTATTGATCCTCGCCCCTCGATTGATATTTGCTTGTTTGCAGGCAGCGAGAGTGAAGCCTGTGTCAGCTACCGGGTCATTACATCATTTACAGGATGCTACAGAAACAGAGAAAAGAAAAAAAGCACCTCTCCAGCTTATCTGCAATTGCCCCTGCTCATCTGAGGATGAAACCATCGCCCTCCCGCCCAGCCCGTGCCTCGATGAGACTTTCAAGGGCAAGCACAAGGTTTTGCTGCCAACACAAAACCACGGTGGGAAGCGACTTTCCCCCCAAACAACGGAGTGTATCAGGCCCAGCTGGAAGAGCCAAGAGCATTGTGACCTGCCACTGCTCAGCACCCTCCCGGCTGAGTGGGGATGGGCTCCCGGTCTGTCCCCTTGGGAGGTTTTATTTTAAACGAACACCACTGCAAGTCCCCATGTTCCAGTTAAAGTTTAATAAAAGCAGATTCAACTGGGAGTGGAAAATAAATAGGCTAAACTCAGCTCCCATCAAGTCCAACGGTGGGCAGGGAGACGAAGGGCACTTGGCTGAAACCTCAGGTTAGTGCGAGCTTTCCAGCACGCAGATTTATCACTGGGGTTGAAGAAGTTGTTTTGGTTTGTGGTTTTGTTTTGTTTTCAAACACTTACTCTGCCAAATTTGCTCCCCAGTATGATGAGGCAGCCAAGGGGGGTGGGGGCTGAGGCTTTTGAGCCTCCCACCCTCGTCTCTGCTGTACGCAGCTCCCGGCTGCAAACCGTACCAGTAGCAGCCCTGGGTAGCTGCAGGGACCCAGGAGCCGGTCCCTGTCCCTGTCCCAGCAGGGTTTGACAAACCCCTTTTGCTGCCCCAAATTAATGGTCGGTGCCGAGGAAGCCATGAGAGCAGGTAGCACACCCAGACCCTGGCACATCCACCCAGCCTGGCCCACTGCAGCAAAAAAAAAAACAAACCAAACAAACCAAACCCAGAGAAACAGGGCTCCAGCCCCAACCCCCTGGGAATCAGAGGCACGTCCCCCAGCCTCTCCCCATCTATGTCAGGGGATTCACCGGCAGCCAGAGCAGAATGGGAGGCG